CCAAAGCACTACCTCTTCCTAACAGTGCTATAAAATGGCGGAGAAGGAATGCGCCTACCCCTGGCGGAGAGAAGAGCGCCTACCTGAGGCCCGCGTTCTGTTGCTGGCGCGCTCTGGCGCTGCGCGCCGCCGCTCCCCCTGGCCGCACGCTGTTTTGGGGAGACGGTCGGGGATGGCACGAGGAGAGGCCCGCAGTGCAGACGGCGGGCCTCTTCGTGGGCTGGTGGGGTGGTGGGGCGGAGAGCGAGAGGTGGCTTGCCGGTGAGCGGGGTGACGGGGCTGACGGGGATGAGGGGGTTGGGGCTGCTCGGGACGGTGGTGAGCGTCCTGGGGTCAGTGTAGGTTTAGCGGGTGGGTGAGGCACGGGTCGTAGGCTTCAGTGGCACAGTGGGCACGTGGGTTTGGCAACGTGCGGCAGCGCCGTGGTTGGTGACGGTGGCGGCAGGCGCCGTGGTTTGGTGGTTGGGCCGGCGGCGGGCACCAGGTTTGGTGACGGTGGCGGCAGGCGTCGTGGCTTTGGTGGCAGGTAGGCGGCGGGTCGTTGGGGTTTAGGTGGCGGTTTGCGGCAGGTGTGTGGGTTTGGTGGCGGTAGAGGCAGGCACGTGGGTTTGGTAGCGGTCTGGCTGGCGCGCGTGGGTTTGGTGGCGGTCGGTGGTCTGCGCGTGGGTTTGGTGCGGTGCTGGGGCGCCGGGGCTTTGGTGGCTTGTAGAGGCAGGCGCGTGGGTTGGAGGCCGGTGCGGCGCGGCTGGCGGCGGGCGCCGTGGGCGTTCTCGTGGTGGGTGAGACGGGTGGCTTGGAGACGGCAGTGAAAGCCTTGGCCGTGAGGGCGGTGCTCCGCGGCCCCATCGTCACCTCGATCATCTTGGTCGTGGCTTTGGTCGCGGCCGGCTTGTGCTTCTGGGGCGGGGCGGCGCCGATGGCCACCAGCGTGGCCGAGGTGGAGCTGGGGCACGCGGTGGCGGACGGGGAAGAGGTCGGCGAGTTGGATAACGGAGTCCACGCCGGCATCCCACTCGCCTTCGCGGACGCCTCCAGCGCACTCTCTATGAGCTGCAAGCACAGGAAGCATAATGCAGGTTTAATTCAGCAATGTGCACATGGCTATAATTCTTGAGGACGTGAACCACAACAATATGAAGAAATAAAGATAAAACATCACCGTCAACTTAATGTATCAATATTATAGATATCAAGTTGACGGAGTTCCTTTATTTCTTCATATAATTTCGTCAGTAATACCTCATCAGCAATACCACAAACCACAACAATACACAAACAAATAATCATTTTTACGAACTACAAAACCTTAGGAAATGATCACTAGAAAAAATATCTGAATTAACCGATCAAACATTTAGGAAGCAAAACGTTTTAGTAACAAACAGCGTCTAAAAATTGTAAGAGCGTTGTTTTAAGAGATATTACATATATATTAGACATTAGATCGTTACTAATGAAAATTACAATATTATTAACAAATCACGTGCAAATTTGATATTTAAAAATATTTCAGAAAACCAGATGTCTTTACAAAAAACATTTCTTAGCAGGGTGTTCAGTAGGTTAAGGTAGAGTAGAGAGAGGTAGAAAATCAAGGGTTGTGTAGTCGTATGTGAACGGTTGTTGTGAACAAAGGTTGTGTAGTCGTTCGAATGCCTTTTTACTTAAAAAATAGTTTGCTCCAACAACGACTACGCAAATTCTTGTGCAGGTCGTCGTTTTCCGATCACGAACCCTGTTCGAAAGCCTAAATTCTCCGCGAAGCGAAGCGAAGGAGGGGACCGTCTGCGATGTGGGCGTGAAAAGGGACCACTGTGACAGCCGCTGCTCGTCTCTGGCTGGCAACGTAACGGTGGCAACGTAACGTAGCGGAGCGCCGGCGCTCTTCCTCCGAATGCAGGTTTTCTGCATACATCTGATCTTTCAAGTACCTCCAGAGGAAAAAGTCACAAGGAGATCGAACAGCAGTGCGAGCAGTTGTGGAATCCTCTTGAAAGTAACTATAGAAGCCTCAAAGATTTTCTTGGAGATTGTTGTAACCTGGCAGATATTGCTTTCCTTTCTCTTCTTTCAGGACATGGCGCTTTCGCTACTTATTTGTGAATTAAAATTCCTTGGGTGCGAAGTTTCTTTACAAGCTTCAAAATTGTCGATCGATGTGGAATATTGCTCGGAAATGTGTTAATTAATCTCTTGCGGCACTTACTGGCATACTTAAGTGGAACGAAGGTGCCGTAAAGCAATATTCTCTGCTTAAAAGAAAATTTCATGATGCACAGTTGAACGCTCTCGAGACACTGGTGTATAGACTAATCGCGCCGGGTGTACGGGACCCTTGATGACGAGTTCCCGGGGAACCGAGGGCTCGATCGCTGAGACAAGCGGCGCGTCATCTTCGGCGAAAGATAAAATAAACACCCAGTATAAGGATTCCCTTGTCTGAATCTTTACCTAACACAATATTTTTGATAAATATAATGTATAAAGTATTTTTAAACTGAGCCTAGAAGGTGCGGTTCTATCGTTCTCCTCTTGATTCGTGAACATCAATGTCGTCTTCACGGGAGACATTAACGAATCTAAACATTTTATGATGAGGCGTGCGTGAATAGCTGTCCGGTGGAGAGATATATGTATGTACTTTGGCACAACAGCTCTTTACGAGCCAAGGCCTACCAGCAGCGTCCTGCCTTGCGGTCACGGTTTAAGGGGCACGTGTGGTTAGCACATAGCCATCTCTACTCTGCATTTTGGTATTTTCAACCTGAGAAGTGATCTTTTTCGTCGTCACACAGCAACAGATAAAGTGACATTGCAAGTAAAGCGCTCAATTAATGTTTACCTCGACCATGAATCGAACCCAGGATTGCGCCTTGGAAAGCGAGCACGCTTACAAACGAACAACCAAGGGCCTTCGGAGAAGGGATACTTTTCTGACATAAACATGATGTTCACGCGCTTTCCGAAGTGTCAGTGTGATAGTTGTTCCCGCACAAGCTTATCTTGCCCCTTTCCAAACATAACTTGACTATTCTCTGAGGGAACGAAGATGTGCTGCATGCAGCAGACGCGAGAGGCAAAGGAGGAAGAGAACCCGAGCGCCAACTCAATGTAGGTGTGATAATTGAAGTGGAATTATATTCAGGGATCTTAGCTTCTACGCTACTGAATATTATTATATTATTAATGATCGTGTGTATATTTGATATTTAAAGAGAGTAAAGGCTACACTTGTCTTATAGTAATTAACTTTAAGCAGGAGGATCAGAAGGATTAGGGTCAAGAGCGCCATACGGGCATTTGTCTCAGAACCGTAGTTAGAAATTTCTTCAAAGTTCGAACATGAGCAATAGTTTGAAATATAGTTTAAAACATTTTATTTCGTGATTCAGAGCGCGTCAACTGCCAAAGTCATTAGTCCCATAAGTGCTGAGCATGTTTCCCCCTCAAAAAGTGGCGGTGTTCGTCCCCGCTGGATGGCGTCATCCACCATCGACCTCCACGTCGGCTAGCTGGGTTTTCTCTAAACAGCGGGGCACGGCCCCAGTCGGGACAAGTTCTAAGCTCACGTCTGGTCTCCGACTTGCGTGGTAATGTAGTGTGAGTAAGTAACTAATAGAAGAGGATAGAACAAAAAAGGGGAAGGAAAGCTCTTTGTGCGCGGTTCTTGGCCCGTTTGTTAGGATGCTGCTCCGGCATTCGCCTGGGGTAGATTGGAGCACGAAAAACTACCGATCAGAGCAGCCGTTCGCTGGAATTCTCCTTCAGACAGCGGCTGAATTCGATCTTGATGAAAAGCCAGTATCGCAAATCCTGCCTCCGCCGGGAGTGTCAAGTCCTTCCAAAGAGCCGTCCCGCCGTGTGCGAGGCGCGTGTTATATCCCAACGTACAGACGGTGCGTAGTACACCATGTACCCCAGAACAAGAGAGGGCTTA